GTGCTGGTAGTAGCAGTACAGTAGTACCAGTAGCGGTAGCGGTAGTAGTAGCAGTAGTAGTAGTAGCAGCAGTAGCACTAGCAGCAGTAGTAGTAGTAGCAGCAGTAGCACTAGGAGCAGTAGTAGTAGTAGCGGCAGTAGCACTAGGAGCAGTAGTATAGTAGTAGTAGTAGTAGTAGTAGTAGTAGTAGTAGTAGTAGTAGTAGTAGTAGTAGTAGTAGTAGTAGTAGTAGTAGTAGTAGTAGTAGTAGTAGTAGTAGTAGTAGTAGTAGCTTTAGTAGTCGTCGTCGCAGTAGTAGTAGTAGTAGTAGTAGTAGTAGTAGTAGTAGTAGTAGTGAGTCGTAGTAGTAGTTAGTAGTAGTAGCAGTAGCAGTCGTACCAGTAGCAGCAGTACTAGCAGTAGTACTAGTAGCATTAGTAACTGCCCCGTCTTCCACACTAACTTACCAACTCCTTTGTCTTGCTAAGTTACTAACTGGCGTACCTTCTAACTTGCTAACTTACTAACCCGCTCACTTGCTGTCTTATTCTCTGTCTCTGCGCCGGATCCTGACTTGCTAACCGCCCATTGCTCAGGGGTTCTCAGGATACCTGGACATGGTCTGGAATATGTGTGTCTGATCCTGAATGAATTTTTATCGAACCTAGAATCATGATTTGCTTTGATGAGTATGCCGTATGCCCCCAACCGCGCCGAAGCTTTGGCTCGACCCGATCCTCCTTCCCCTTGCCGCTTTTGGGCGCCCGGGCGGCAGAAGCAATAGCAGATGCGGTATCTGGCTCTCCTGGCGTGATAGATACTCCGTCACCTAACTAGTCTACGCGTCGCGGCTGTTGACAGCTTCCTTGGGCAGAGCATCCTCCATGTCCCGTCACCAAGGCCGCGCTGAACCCGGTAGGTGTTCAAAGGCTTGTCAAAGAAGTACTGGCAACAAGTAGGCGTCCTTTGGGTGATCTCTAAACTACGGGAGCCCCTTCTTCTCTTTGAACGCCTCAGAAGGGCGCATACGCTGCAGCAGGCGGGAATTGGTCCCCGCCCCAAGCCCCAAGGCAGGCCCACCTGTAGATGATCAGATTGTTCCACCTGCGATGCAAGCGCACAGAACGCGAGATCTGACCACCAAATAAGCATTTTCCCCTGGCCCCACCTCTTCGAGCCCCACATTCCTAGCAACTCGCAGGAATTTGCACGCAGGGAGAAAAAAAAACGAGGAATCCCTCCATGATGAAAGGGTTCCCTCCCTCCAGATCGGCCAAAAGTCGCCGCTGTTGGACTCAGCCTTGCCTTTTTGGAGTACCCCAGGGGCTGCTTTTGGGGAGGAGCAAAATTTGCACTTCCATGTTGGCGGGCGCCATGTGTAAGAACGTATAGTCATTCAATGCCAGGATGTGTCATTCACGGAACAATCTGAACAGCATTGGGGCGTTGGGCAATATGAGCACAATATTCCAACCAGAAACCCCAGCGCTTTCGCAACAGGAACTTCCCAATCAGGAGCTCTGCGAGTATATCTGGCATTCAAGGACAATAAAAAGTAAAAAGTCCAACCGAGCACAGCAAGAACGAAACAAAAACAAAACAAAAAACGCCAGCTCAAAGTCTATCTTGCCAGAGCTTCACGCCAGAACCTAACGTAAGCAGCCGGTCTGAGAGACTGTCCGGCCATTTCGCGTGTCCCAAAAGTAACTCTCTGCGCATTTATTTCAAAAATTGGGGATCCGTTTCTGTAAAAAATCCGCGGAAGCGACGTTCAAAACACGAGTCTCAGTGGTTTCCGAGCTCCAAACATGTGGCTGTGGGTCAAAAATAGGTGCCCAAAATGGGTTGCCCTGGTAAGTGGAAACATGGACTTAAAACCTGCGGTCCATATCCTGGTGGTTTAGTTTTGTCCCATACCCAAATGGATCTGGGCGTGTCTTGTTTTGAGGGTACCCTTTCTGAATAAGGCGAACCAAAAGGGAAACCGAATAAACCCATTCTTGGTGGTCACTCAAGAAACAAACCCATTTTGGGGAACCGAAATAACATGTTTTGTGAAGAGCAACCCCGCCAAAAGAAAACGGTCAAAACTCGGCAAGTGAATAACAGAAAAACATTGGAAAGGAAGAGAGATGAGGCGCTGCATTGACTCATCCAGAAGATCACCACTTGCGAATCCGACAAAATGAATGTCTATGTCAAAACTCGGCAAAAAAATCGCTTTGCCCCGAAGATTTGTCGCTCGGTTCCCGCCTCACTTTGTTCCCGCCCTCCAGGATTTGCCCCTCGCGGGTGGAGCCCGGGAAGGCCACGTCGGCGCCTCGAAAACTTTCGGCACGAGGTGCAACTGGAAACCAAAGAAAAAACACGAAAGCTTAAAGAAAACTAGAACCACAGGTGGCCCGAATAATGGAAAGTGACCAAAGACCAGCAAAGCGAGCCGACGTGCAGGGGTGCCAGTGGAGTGGTTGCTTAACAAAAAAAGGAATGGGAGGTGGGACGATTTGCAAGCTCAATCATTCTGATACATGATGCGGCTTGTTGTCCTGGGAATCCCTTCCAACTCGTTTGGGCGCGCCGCCGTTCTCCCAAAAGCTCGTGGCGTCGCTTCAAAAGCACTCTGAATTTTCTGTTTGCCGCTGGGCATAAAGTCCAACTCCAGCGAGACTCTTCGCATCCGAGCGGCTGTTTTGCCCCGAGAAGCGGCTTCCGCACATGGTGTAGTCGTTCACCAGGACCACCCGCGCCTTCGAGAATGACCGTCATGCTTTGAGGGAACCTCCCCCCCCCCGGTTTGGAAGGGAAGCCAAAAAAGAGCAGCCGATGTCGGGGCGGGGTCCCAAAGTGTAAGACCAATCCAAATGGTTGCCACTGGCACCAACAGGCAGCTCCCCAATCGCGAGATGCCTTTGCCCAGAAAGCACCTGGATCTTCCCCATTGGGCCAAAATCGAAACCTGTAACCAAAAGAGTCCAAAAACCATGTATGGGTGTTGCTCGAAATAGGGTCCCATTGTTGGGTGGCTTTAAGTGGAAGCCAAAAAGGAGACCAACCACCTGAAGAGTCCCTTACGTTGAGAAACACGCATACAAATACTCCAAAGAGTGGAGTTCTGCCAAGGGAGCCCCCCCCCCACTGGCCTTGGGGCCCCGGCCCCCAAATTCAAGCCGCGACCTTCGAGATCCAGGTTGAAGCGGGTGCCGTTGTTTTGCACCTGACGGCGTGTCGGAGCACGCTTCCAGTTCTTCCATTGGCCGGGGCCGGAGAAACAAAAAATTGGGCGATGTTCCTCTTGGCTCGGAACGGCGGCCAAAGGAGAATCTTTTGGCAGCTTAGTCAGAACACCTTGGATCTGCCAGTCAGAATCATCCAGAAATCCGAACTCCAGCTTCGGGCATGTGGCGAACCTCTGCTTTTGAAGTCCCGGAATGACTAACACGGCTGCCATCCCCTGCAATCCTTTGAATCATAAGACAGCCAAAGATGCTCTAGGCCATGGCTTGGCCAATCCCGCCATGGCAAAGGGAACCTAGGATCAATCAGCCCCTGGTTGATGGAGGCAGGGCGGCCCACTGGAGAGTCAGTCTTTCACTCTTGGGGAACGGGCTCCCTGGGTCGATGTATTCTACAGGTCAACTATTGCTGGAATGTGTCATCAACTTCTGGCTACATGAGGGGACTGGGATGCCCGCCCTTCTCCGTGGTCCCTGTCATCCCCCTACCGATGTCTGAATCACACGAGCTTCGATCTTGTAACGTCATAGCTGGGTTGGGCCTTGTGAGGCCCCTACTGTTTGACTACATACATACACATACACGTACGCACGTACGCACACACGCACACACGCACACACGCACACACGCACACACGCACACACGCACACACGCACACACGCACACACGCACACACCCACACACACACACACACACACACACACACACACACACACACACACACACACACACACACACACACACGCCCGCGCGCACGCGCGCCCGCGCGCGCACGCACGCACGCACGCACGCACGCACGCATGCACTTGCAGACATGAAGTGCATCCCGGATTCCGACATGCACTGCATTCAATCGCGAAACGCGTGCAAATAGAAAACCGAACACGTACAAAGATTGCTCCAAAAGACCATCATGTGCCTCGTGCCCCGTGGTTGCCCTGTCTGGCAAATCTGCCGGCCTCACATGAAAGGTCCCCAAACAAGAAACCAAATCCATGGGCCACGGCCAAGTCGGTGCTTGCTCGCCTTATGGGCCAACCCACAGGCCCGGGTCTTTTTGCTTGCCACACGCATTGCATTTCTCGTGCCGCAGCCAAGACAGGCCATGCTTGCCAAGAGGCCATAGCTGACCAACCCTTATCTCTGTCCAATGGGTCCTATGCTCACTTCCGATTGATCGTACCAACTGGAATCTCCTAAGGTTTCCCACTGAAAGGCTCCAACCCCTGAGTCTTGGCCTCCGCCTAATCGTCGTCTTGGAATCGATGGGTTCCATGGGTACATGATTAGAACCAAGCTGAAACCTGAAGAATCCAGCTATGTTCAACCAAACTCAGCGCTCAAACACCCATGACATGGTTCTCCTTACGCCTGGTTTGAGCTGAAGCAAATGTCCCCTGAGGTGGCTTTGTCTCAATACGAGGGTTATGAGGGCCGCAAAACTTGGTGTCCCTTTCAAGCCAACCACAAGGGGGCCAAAATCGACGCAACCACCAAGTGATACCGAGTTTCAATGAGCTTTGCCTGAAATTGGTCAGTGTGTGCCATGGTGTGCCTTTCTCTTGGGACTGGTTGCCGGGTTTCTTACATTGGGCTGAGGCGAACTGATACTCAAATCAAACACCTCGTTTTGTGCTCGTCAAACCACTCGGTCAGACTGCACCGTTTTGAGATCAAATTGGCCAGTCACCTTGGGTGCCTAGCCTCCGCTGCTCCAAATCGCGGATAATCCGCAGCCTTCCCCTCCCCCCATCTCTCGTCTTCTGCTCAACAACCATGAATCCTG